GAGGGGATTATATGAAATATTCCATCAGCTACAAAAACACTCCTTGTACTAATTACCATACCCACAACACATACACAGAACACTGTCTATAAGAGCACTACTCACATTTCCAAGAGAAAGTAACATGTACAACACAGTGCTTTTTAACTCTGTTTATTCAGTATAGATCTCAATTCAGTATCACTCCTCAGTGATCCACTCCCTGTTGTTGTTGTTGTCTTTCCCCTCTGTAGAATAGCAATAATCCCATGCACATGGCGTTGTATACGCCTCCTATTAATACTCTTTCAGTAGGAATGTTTTTCCTTTCACCACAAGAGAGACATTCATTTCCACTTGTGTTGTAGTTATCAATAGAAGGCGTAGAACACCTCTGCACTGAGAAATAGCATTGCAATGTATCCCCCAAAGAGAGAGATTTGTTTCATTCCATTCTATCAAAATGTATTCCAACAGTTATTCAGTTGTTCTTTCTTCCCCTTTTTACTTTTTGTTACCATTGATGGGTAGTAGGATCACTGTACCACTACCACTCAATGAGTTCTCACACCAAATAGAGATACATTCTCCTCTATTTCTTCTAACCATGAAGAGTCAGGTATCATCTGTGCTATGGAAACCCCCATTAAGGTGTGACTGGTTGCTATTTCCCAAAAAAATAATAAACATAACTCAATATTACAGAGATAAAGAAGGAAAGCTTAGAATAGGACACAAGGAAATGTATGTTTCCATTTCTATTGAATGGGATAAAGAGTCTCATGTGTTGTACAATGTGTCCATTTGACTATTCTCACACTAGTTGTGAGACTCAAAAGTGTCATTAGATCAGCAGTGTTAAGAAAGCAACATCCATGTGTGTGTCTACTCTCTCACCCTATCTCCTGCGTCAATGTGCTGTGATGGTGCCTTGTCCTTCACTGAGGCCAATAAACTAAACCCACGCGTAACTGAACACCCCCCAGCAGCCACACAGTAACAACAACTAAACAAATACACACGTACAAAGCAAAATGTCCAGTCAAACAACACCGTCAAGAACAAATACAGGGAATGCTGGCACACCATGATGACAGGGTATAATCGGGGCAGTTCAAGTAGAGAAGCATATGGGACTCTGTACTCCACTCTCCCATTCCCACTGATGCAGTCCAGCAGCAAAAGAAACAATACAACCAAACAGAGAGTGGGACATGTTGTATTTCATGGTTGCTCTTTCGTCC